TCTCTCTCTCTCTCTCTCTCTCTCTCTCTCTCTCTCTCTCTCTCTCTCTCTCCAATGAGAAGAAAATAATTTTGCTTCTGTAGATGCTATATAAAACAAAGTCTATTATGTAAAATATACTACAGAAACAAAGTACTCAGCCTGTTTGTCAGTGTAAGGAAGATGTGGGTTCTTTTACTCATCAAGCTACAAAAGGCCTTAGGATGTCAACAGTGGATGCTCCAGGCAACTGTGTGTGGTCTGTAAGAAATGTGTTATCAAGAGCCGGTAAACATCATCTTGGCAGAAGCCCTCACAAGAGAGCGCCAGGAACAAGTAAACAAAAGAACAGCATATGTGACATGATTTGCACAGTCCCATCACATTCCACACACTCCCTGGGCTCCAGACAAATCCAACAGCAATTTTCAAATTAGCCATCTGCCTCTCTGTTCTCAGTGACTTGGAGCAAAGAGCTGGTGGTGGAAGGAGAGCTGATAATGATTCATGAATGTTTGCCTGCAAGTCCGAGAGTCTGTTCCTATGTCGTGGCTCCTCAGAGAGCACGCAGCAGATGGTGCCAACTCGGTAGAGAAGGCTCGGCCCTTCGCTACGCTGGGGTCTCATATCAGCTCATGACTCAGTAACCTGCCGTCTACAAAGCCAGTGTCTAACACTACTGTCCCCCAGTTCCTTATCTGTATATGGTGATAGAGTATCTCGTAATCTAACAGGTAGAAGTAAGAATACATCTATGAGTACCCCAGGGGCTCTAACGATGAGAAACAATGACATTTGTGAAGCGTTTAGTGCTGTTGGCTAAGTTTGGCAGCCATCTTTGGCAGTAATGTTGGAACCATAGAAGTAACAGGCAAATTTCATTTGGTTTAGAAAGAGAAGTGTTATTTCTTGTTTTGCTCTTTGTATATCATGAAAAATTTTGGGAAATATATTAATTTTTAAATACCATTTATAAATTTTTCAATCATATGAATAAATATTATAAGTGACATTTATCAGGGAAGTACATTACTAAACATTTATTATGGGGAAGGCAAGAGCTTCTAGTCTCTTCTACAGTAAGGAGGAAGCTAAGGCTGTCGATCAGTGGTAGAGCACTTGGTCTAGGATTCCTGAGGTCCGAGGACTGATCGTCTGCCCTGCAAAGGGAGAGGAAGCAAAAATCCCCCAAACAGTACTCTGCCCATGTGTCTCCCATTCGTGATGGGACTGTGTTTGTTTTAACCTGTTCTTATAATAGAACTGTTTATACTTAAAATAAGAGTGATTAGCAGAATAATACTATGAGCTACAAAAACCAAGACCGCCACTAACTTTCTTGTTTTACAGTTTTCTAAACTATTCTAAATCCAGCTGTAGTTGTCAAGTCATTTCCTATACTTTAATTATGATTCAAGAGATACAGAGATTTCCTTACATAGTTATACTCCATTGTGGTGGATTTATTGACTGTTAAAGTCTCTTCCCCTTTCTGTTCCAGTATGTGTATAGATTTACATATTTATATTACCTAAAGTGTGCTAGGACGTTTGGATTATGCAAAACAAATTTTCAATGACTTCATAACTGTCTCCATACTAATAATGCATGGGAGTTAACCAGAGTCTTGTGGAGAGGCGTGGTTGAAAGATGCAAAACCAGAATGGCCTGTTCTAGGCGGGCCTCTTCTCGTGCCTATTCACATCTGAGGTGGGTTGAGGACAGCGTTTGGGGACAGGGAATAGGAGACACTTGGGTGATAGGTAGTTGGGAGCCCTTACAATGCAAGCAGTTTCCTTTGTTTACTTCTTCAGCTTATGGTTATGGTGCTAAAACCAGGTTCCTGTCACCTCACTCTCCTGTCTTCCTGATCCTTTCATGGTGTGCCTTTACATAATATCACGGTTCTTAGCATGACTCAGCTTACCTCAGATAGCTAACACTTAACAAAGTAAGCAAAGACAAAGCAGCTAGACATCTGTGCTTCAGTTAGTTACTGCTAGCCTGAATAGATCGTAGGAGTCAACCTCAGTCACCAAACATTTGTTGTCATAAGCAAGTTACATACACAATATGCTGTAGTGGATCTACTTTTAAAACAAATTGAACCCAAATTACATACAGTTATGCTGTAGCAAACTAAGATTACATATATATATATTTATATACATACATACACACACATACACACAAAGATAATCTTCAACAAAAAGGGTTGATAGTTAAAATATATTTTAATATATAAATATATATTTTTATTTATATATTTTATATTTATATAAAATTTATATATATTAACTATCAACCCTTTTTGTTACAAGTTTTAAACTAATTTTGTTACAGACTTTACAGATTTTTTTGAACCACACTCAATAAGCTTAACAAATCTTGATATATAGCATGTTTACACAGTCGTAAGATATGTTTTTGGAGTCCGGGGGAGCAGAGAGCAAAGAAGCCTTAGAAATAAGAGATTCTTAAGAGTGGAGAGCAGAGAAATTTTAAAGATAGGAGATTTGGGAGATTGTGTGTGTGTGCGTGTGCGTGTCTGTGTGTGTACCCTGAGTCACAGTGGAGGAGCATACAGCAGATCCCACTGAGCAGTGTGAGGCATAGCCTTTCTATGTGGTGGGTACCCAAGAGGGCATAGGAGGCTCCAGGAGCAGAGAGACTTACTACAGGGGGTAGAGAGCATTTAGTGAGTAGGCAAGGAGAGACAAGCAGTTAGAGCAGGTGGAGGAGAAGCAGCCGAAGAAACAAACTCTTAAAATTTGAAGTTGAGTATGGCAGGAGACAGAAGCCAGCAGAAACAAAAGGTCCATTCCTTAGGAGATGTGTGTGAGGGTTTGGGCACCAGATACGTGTGAGAGGACGCAGTAAAGAAACTGCCTACATGATCATCATGCTCGTGATTTAGGAAGGTTTCTATTGTAGATGACAGGGAGAGGGGCCCTGGAAGGGGGGAGGGTGGTACAAGGAACAGCCAGAGGCATCAGTCCAGAACAGAGAAGGAATCAGACTGAACATGGCCAGTAACTGACCATGGCCAGGGCTAAGGAAGTGAGGGGGGGGGTGAGAAACAGAGAAAATAGAGAGAGAGTTGGAAAATGAGAGAGCTTGCATGGGAGAGAAGAGGCAGAATGAGAAGGGGGGTTGGAAGCTTGCCATTATACAGAGAACAAATGGGTGTTTTTGGGGGGAGGAAGCCAGAGGAAGTAAAACTGCCAGGATGCTAGCACTGACTTGGACATGTATAACAGGTTGTGACACAGAAGGGATCTGGAGGCCAGTATGGGCTTTGATAGGGAACCACGGTTAGCCATGTTCCTTCTGCCAGAGGTAAAGAAAATGATGCCTGTTGGCAGATGGGAACCAGTTTCCCAAGTTCCCCAGCAATGCTGGCTTTTATCTAAGTCCCAGGCTCCTGTGATCCAGGTTGAGCTGGGGATAGATTCATTTTGGACAGATCAGTGGGCCTGCCCTTTTTGGGGTGGGGGGGTGGGGGATGGTGGACAACGATGGAGTACCCTTTGGACCTGATAGGAGGGTGGTATTAGTTGCCAGGGGAGAAGAACAAAAGACAAAGGACTCAGTGCTGATGTCTGCTTGACGAACTTCTGTCCTGACCAGTTCTGCCACAGAAAGAGATGACTGGCTGGAGGCCATATCCAGCTCAATAGAAGAGTATGCCAAGAAAAGAATCACCTTCTGCCCCAGCAGGAGCCTTGACGAGGTATTGTCGTCTTCTCTCTTTCTGGCCTTGCTTTCAGGTTTGTTTGTTTGTTTGTTTGTTTGTTTGTTTGTTTGTTTTTCTTTTCATTTAACCACACAGAGATTTAGAAAAGGAGCCTGTTTTTCAGACATGGATTGGAGGAGGCATATGTCCTCATAGTTTCTCCTAGTTATAAAACTGAAGTGCAGGAGATTTTACTTATTTGTGTGTAGGGGGGGCATGGGGATGTGTTAGGAGGTGTCCTGTGTCTCTATATCTCTGTGTCTCTGTGTCTCTGTGTGTCTGTGTATCTGTAACTGTGTGTCTGTACCTGTGGGAATGTGTATGGGGAGGGAGTGTGTGTCTCTCTGTGTTGTAGGGATTGGTCTCAGGAACTTACATTTAGTTCTGCCGCCAGCTCCATCCCCAGCTTTCACTGTAGGGAACAGAGAGCAGGGATAGTTAAGGAAGAAGCTAAGCATCCCAGTACCACAAGCATCTTTCACAGATGATTTCACAGCAGAGGATTTTCAAATGTATCTAACGTTAATGTACCGAAGTCTCGAGAAATATTCTCACCCACTTTTCCTCCCACCCCCTCACTGATGCCACCAGCACTGCAGAAGCCTATGAACAGACGTGGTTCTCCCCTAGGCAGTGCACACAGGGTAATTAGAGTCGCTCTGCTTCCACAGGACTCAGAAAGGAAAGAAGAAGTCAGCCCTCTCGGGGCAAAGGCTCCCATCTGGATCCCTGACACCAGAGCCACCATGTGTATGATTTGCACAAGTGAATTCACCCTGACCTGGAGAAGACACCACTGCAGAGCCTGTGGGAAGGTCAGCAGGACAGCATCTGTCCAGTTGTGATGTCTGTGGGCTATGCATAGTGAGGAAGTATTTCCCTCAGAAGTCACTGTAGTGTACAAACAAGGAAGGACAGTGCTAGTGAGAGCAGAGACGTCGTCTGATCTATGTTTGGGGTTGGAGTAGGGAATGTTGTTAGGGACTCCCCTTCCTCTACTGTCTACCCACAGTTACAGTACTGCTGCAATCATAGAAACTCATCCAGGCATGATGGCCCCTGCCTCTAATCACAGCCCTCAGAAAGCTGGAGCAGGAGGATCTCAACAAGTTCAAGGCCAACCTTTGTCTTAAAATGCAAATGAAACTCCAATTCTATAGGCTCATATCTATATTACAGTTTAGCCATCTTCATGTAGACAAGCTCAGTAGGAAGGTCTCTATGTAGCTTTGGCTGGCCTGGAACTCACTATATAAACTAGGCTGGCCTTGAACTCTCTGAGCTCCACTTGCTTCTCCCTCCTGGCTGCTAGAATCAAAGGTGTGTGCCTTCACACCTGCCCAGCAAATGAACTTATAAAGAGAAATGATTTACTTTGGCCTACACTTTGAGACTTTAAGCTCAAGACAATTGGCCTGTAGTATTGGGGTTAAGGCAGCATGTCATGGTTAGAGCATGTAGTGGGCAAAGCCACTAACTTGATAGTTATTAATGAAAAAGTGGAAGAAATGACCCCAGCATCCCCTTTGAAGGCCCACTGCTCTAATGACCTTTTAAAGCTTCTGCCACCTCCCAAGTGGGAACTTCAACAACACATGGGTCCTTAGAAGAGATGTACGCTCCATACCAAAGTATAACCTTTCAGGATGTCTTCAGCAGACCGAACATAGTAACAGAGCTCCTTTGACTGGTGTTGTTGCAGGGAAGTAATTGTTGCTATGGCAGTGGTGCTTAGGGATGCTAAGGGATGTTGCTTAGGATCAGGGGTGGTCAACGAGACTGACAAGGTTCCTGCCATGGCTCCCTCGAGCCTTACGTGTAGCCTCTCAAGTGTGGTCGTGGAGGCTCACTCACTACCTGCCAGAACGCCGCGAGATAATGAGGTGTAGTCATTGTCAAACTGTTTTGGAAAAGGACAGTGCTATAAACTGCAGCCCCCCCCCTTTTTTTTTCATAGCTTGTAATCAAAAGTTTTTCTGAATGAAATAATTTCAATGTGTTTTCAGATTGTGTGCCAAGCTTGCTCATCAAACAAGTGTGGCTTAGATTACCTGAAAGGGCAACCAGCGAGAGTGTGTGAACACTGCTTCCAAGAGCTACAGAAATTAGGTAACATAAAAGTAAACATTTAACCAAGCGGTCCGATTGCTCAGATACTTTCAGCCTTCCAGAAGAACCGTGTTTGGCAAGCCAGCGTGTGTGTGGGCTTGTCTTAATGCCAGTTAGGCCTGACTTGAGTTTTGTCATAATTCCCAGAGAAAGGGACTGAGCCTTTATTTTTTTTTTTTTTTGAGGAATGTGAAATGGCTCTACTAAGAAAATTCATTATTGAATTATTATTACAGAATGACATGCTTAACACAGAAGGTAACTTTAACTTGTGAGCTATGTGGAAGTTTCAATTTACTAAATAGTGCTTCATTTATATTCTTTTAAGATTCACTTATGTTCATGTGCATGAGTGTTTTGCCTGAACGAGCATCTTAGTATACCATATGTAGTGACCACATGCATGCGTGGCACCTTCAGAGGTCAGAAGAGGCTGCTGGATCCCCTGGAACTGGAGTTAAGAATGGTTGTGAGCCAACATGTGGATGCTGGGAGTCCTATGCAAGAGCAGCATGTGATCTTAACCAGTGGACCATCTCTCTAGCCCTCATTTTTCATTTTTGAGATGGCTTTTCCTTTCTTTCTTCCCCCTAACCCACTGGAAGTACGAGGGACCAAACCCAAAGTTCTTCAGGTCTAAGGCAAGCGCTGCAGTACTGGGCTACAGTCCCAATCCCCAGATGTTTCTATCTGCAAAGTAAACTTACTGGCTGGTACTTGGTTAGTGAGTTCTAGTTCATTGGATAATTAGAGTTTTTTATTGATTTATTTATTGAGATGATTTCTTTGTGTGACCTATATTAGCCTGGAACTCTCAGCCTTCAGAGTATTACCGCCACTCTTAGCAGGTGTGATTCTTTGAACAGCTACAAGGTATTTTTGTATCCGCCCATTCAGTATCTGCCAGTGTTGTTTGCCCACAAGGCAGAGTAAACTCAGCTAAGAGGCCTGCCCAAGTCTATGTTTTAAATTTCTGAAACCTATAGGATCTAAATTCTAAAAGCATTATCCTGCATGTCCATGAAACATAGCTTACTAGCAAAGAGGACTAGCTATATGAATCGCACTAGATGCCACGCTGTTTTAGACTCCAAGGTTTTACAGATTAATAGTTACGGTTTGTATATGTTTGTGAAAACACACCCGTGTATTCTTTGTTGTCTGGGTAAACCAATGTGACGTGCAAACATTCCTCTCTCACCACGCAGCTCTGCTTGGTCACTAGCTCTTGTCAATTCCACCTCAAAAAAGCCCCACTTGTCTTGTTCTCTGTGTCAACCGTACTTCGGGTGACACTGTAATAATACCATGCGGCAAATTCCTCTTCCTGCCTCCCGCCTGCTTTTCTAGACTGAGTCTGGGAAGCATGTGGCACAGTGGAAAGCACCCGCATAGCCTGTGCACGGCTCTAGGTTTTAATCCTGAGCACCACGTAAAGCAAAACCGTGAGACAAAGAGGACTGATTTCGAGGCAGGGAGTGTGGCTCCCGCGTGTAATTCAGCACTCCGGAGGCTGAGGCAGGTGGATTGCCACGAGGCCAGCCTGTTCCCATCCTTCCCTGGCCTAAGCAGCGTTCCACATCTCGTAGAGCCATCCCTACCCCATAGTGCTCCTAGCGTCGTTATTCAACAAGGCATGTATTCATTCATACATGTCTCCGTTGTCTATATCG